AAATGTGAAACTGAATAATTTGAATTTCATCAATAAGAAGCTTTGGTGGCCTTAATAAGATTCAATCTTTTGTTTCAAGTACTTTAAAAAGACACCATTTTTTAATATGTGCAACTATTGATAGACCTGGGTCCACTTAACAATTTTAACCTGGAACAGATTTGGAGGCAATGATATCACAACTGCTAGGAGCCTTGAACAACGCTCCTCCTTCTCTCTCTCTCTCTCTCTCTCACTCTCTCTCTCTCTCTCTCTCTTTCCCCATACACACACACACACACACACACACACACACACACAAATATACTAGGCATTTTACTTTACTACTTATTTCTTCTGAGAATAGAAGAAACGTGTGTGAAAGCATTCGGCAAATTCTGGTATCGATGTACAAGGAAGACCTAAACCTTTAAAATACCCCAATTATTCTGGACTGCACTCGGATGTGGCTGTCAGTAACAGGAGCACTGTTCTCGGGAAGGAACCGTGTACAGGCTCCTCCGGAGAGCGCAGTGGTTAGGTGTAAAGGACACAGGCTGCGCCGCTGTGTCCCCGGCCGGATAGTTACCGCGTTTTCCTGCGACGGGCAGGAGCGGAGGAAGGAAAACCCGGGGTGCGTCCCCGCTCCCGCGGCGGCTCTGGCAGGTGCGGAGGGAGCCGCCACCGGAGCTCTTGCGACGGAGAAAAACGTAAAAGCGGGTTCGGGCTGCAGGTGCAGTAACGGGAATCCGAAGGCATAATGAGGAGAGGACTCGAGGGGCCCCGGCCTAAGGTCAAACACTCCTTCCGGCTTTGGAACTGCCGAAGAGTCCTGCTGAGGTGTCGCGCTGTCCTGCCCAACGTACTGATCCAAGTTCAAGTGCTTCGGGATGTCTGTCAGGCCAGCCTCCGCCCTGTCCTCTAGACCTCTGGGGGGGACCCGCAGAGCCCTTTCTGCCGGGAAGGCAAAGGGCTTACGTCTCTGCTCAGGCTGTAACTGGAGCAGAGGAAAAGCATCGCCGGGTCTGAGCGCCGTGGCAGCGGGAAGGGCAGAAGGCAGGGACACGCGGTGGAGGGGAGCGTGCCCCGCAGGGCCCGGGGGACAGGAGGC